TTGTTTACGAATATTTAGGAAAACTGTATATGGTTAGTTAAAGTAACTTGACGTTGTAGCTTCGTATGCAAAACTACGATACCTAGTGATGCATAATTAAATCATAATAGGTGCCTGAGTAAATGTTAACTGTTCATTGTAGAGTTTACTGCTAAAAGCGAAACAAGTGGTATTAGCACAACTTTTAACTTTTTGTTTTATTTTAGTGTATAGTTTAAAGTCAGTATGAACGAGGTTAAACACGCTACTGAATGTAAACTTTTATTAGCTTTTTACATGTGTGACACTTAAAAAGTGGGTCAGTATTGACACAAGCACGCGTATCATCATATTTCAGTAAATAGACAACAATACTGACAGAACTGTCCATTTTGTAAATTAGCAATTACTTATTTTCGGGATAAAGTTTTCCGTTTTATTTAAATTAATAAAAGCTACTTTTTTACGGAGTTGAGGAAGACTGCGAAGTTCCAAAGTTTCAGCTCGTTAAAAATTATTTCTTTGACAAATTTTTAAAAGAATTCGTTTTTGAACTACTATCACTACTACGTAGTATAGAAGAAAAAAATAAATATTGATCTAGTGTTTTAAAGTTGTAAAATAATGTTTTTACTGGAAAAACAATGGGATTACTTGTTTAATAATTTGGTTGCACGATTATACTCAAGTACATGTAATCGTGTTTCGATTGAACTCATTAAATGCGACCATTACACCTACCCGATGTCAGAAATATTAATTATCCTCGTTATACGATGTCTAATGATTTAGTTGTGTTTATTTACAACCTGACTACGGACTAGAAGGAAATCCGACCTAAACTAGATTAAATTGTTATTGGGCTAGTGTGGCCCTAATCAATTTCTATAGCTTCATATCCGACTTTACTGATACTTAACTGATTGTAATTCTACAACAACAGGAACATTGAAATAATAGTATTAGAATAAATTATGTTTGGACATAATTTTTACATTTGAAAGAATTCGTGCAAAGTCTTAATATTTATTGTAGGGTGAAAATACACACTGCTGTGTATACACAGATTTGCGACGAAATTGAGACGTCTCGGTAAAATACACATAATTTTAAACAAACAGTAATAGCAAATAACTCGGAATTAACTTTAGGGAAAATCAGTCTCCAACAGGTAACTTTTTTAGGGTGTGTGTACAAATAACTTGAAACCTAATATTTGACTTTTATTTACTTATCCACTTTTAGTTGAATTCGACTTCAGTTTACAATTAAGAAATTTACTTGCATATCATTTTGATAATTGGAAAGTTGGCAAAAGTACACCCGCATGTAAACCCATTATTATATTCTGACTGTTTAATTTGCTTGATGTTGAAACTTAGACATGACAACTACAAGTACAATCACAGAATAATGTTATACTGCTTAATTAAAATAAAAATTTACGAATAACATTATCCCGAATTGAATTTTTTTGTATTTTAGTTTGACCTTTCATTTTTGTGTATGAGCTTGTTATAACTAAGCCAGGAATGTTAATATTTTCATATTCTCAACACGGCCGCAGAACAGCACTACCGCACGTTTTCCATGATCGATCATCGAAACGACATCCTTTTAACATTAATAATAATAAACCTTTCAGCAATGGCACGGGAGGAATCGACGTCATGTTCAAATAACTGAAGCTTGTCACAATATATGAACATCGATTTTTTGTTAAATTTTTGTGTAACTCTTTGTGTCTTAGTGGGAAGTTTATGTTCACTTTTATCTCCAACATAATTGCGATAAGGTGTGAATGAAACATTGATACAAAGGAGATCATCGGTTAAATTCGATGCTTTCGATTAAAGCGATGTCGGCATCAAGCTGAAACAAAGCTTCACTTCCTTTTGTCTTATACGCCTCATATCCGCTCCTCTTACTTGAATACTTATGTGGGGCTTTATTAAATTAAATTAAATAAAATTCTTGTATTTTTTTTGATAATCATAATAATATTTATTATTATTATGAATTGTACAAGTGAATAAGTATACAGGGTGCACCAGAAGTCACCCTCAGAGAAAAATGCCAGTAAGGTAAAATACCGGGGACATAGAAAAATGTTAAAAAAATTTATAAATTTTGAAGTTATGAGAATTTAAATTTTGCACTTTGAATGTATTTATTTCTGTTGGAAAAATTAGGAAACAAGGAAGCTGTATCCTAAATTATAATTCTGTTTAATGACATTTTTTGATTTTATTAGCAAAATTTTTGTACCTTTACTAAATACACGCCCTGCATAGTGTATACCCTGAAGAACTAAGCGTTTTCTGTTTAATTATTTGTCTTCAAAAAAAAATAATTGGTGAAAAAAAGAGATTTATTTTTGTTTTGGTGCTTTACATTTTTAATTTCTTTGACAAAAATTTAATTCAATTTATATTGTTGTGGATTGGATTTTGATAAAAAAAATTCATAAGTTGTATTAAAAAAAATTATTACTTTTTTTACATTGTTTTTTGATTTTGGAAATTAGGTTTTTCTTCTGGAAATCAATAAAGTTCGACAAGAAATGTTTTATTCCACATTTTTGTTTAATTTAATTTACTGGATTTGCAATATAAAAACAAGGTGATTTTTGTATAAACGGAAACCGGGTTTAACTACGAGTACGTATAGCCTTTTTCTGTGATGACTACATGGCGTGTTGTTATTTATACAATGTTTATTAATATGTAGAGTTCTTATCTAACCACGATATTATTCTAATTTGTGGTTAAACACACGTTATGGCTATGGCGTTGTAGGCAAGTATGAAACATATAAATTATTAAGTCTTCTTTATTTTACAGCGTAAGTAATGTCTAAATTTAACCAACATATTTGTTGTATGCATATAATTGACCAAAATGTTCTGGTTCTCTCTGCTAATTTTTTTTTTTTTTGAAGTTAATGAGGGGTGACCGATAACTTTATTGGTAGATCGCTGTGATGTGTTTAATGGAACCTAAATCAAAACCGTATTTAGAGTTGATTAAAGCGTGTGTAGTTTAAACGTCAACTAGACCCTCGTGAGCTTTTGAAACTTTGATTTGGTTCAAAGGAATTTTTCGGACAGCTTTTATAATAAATCAAGGGCTTTATTCTACGTAATGATATTTTAAATTAATCACTACCTACTTTCAACCTTATCTACAGATGAAATAAAAACCATTAAAATTTGTGTGATAGTGATAAACAAATAAACTGCTGCAGCGTTCAAAAATGTCAACCACATAATATTTATTTTTACTATAATAGTATCTTACCTATGTAAATAAATAGTAACCGAAAGAAATAATTTACCTTTCTCTTTTTTACTCAGAACTAAAAATTCTCTTTAATCAATACTACACGCGGGCTTTTCTTTAATTTTAATTTAAAAAATGCAAATGGGTTTAATATACAAAAGGTTAGAAGCGGAGGCACCACATTATGTATGTATGCAATGGTTAATTTTCAAAGGAGACAAAAGAGTATTCATAATAAAAACAGACAAATTACACACATGAGATAACTACATGAAAGCAATTCATTGTTATTCAGCAAAAAATTAAGAGATTTGAAGTAATATAAATTCAAAAATCTCCGCAGTTAAGCCGCATATTTTAGATGAGATACGTTTCAAACTGACACTGGCGGCCTTATTTTTTTATATACGAATATAAAGAGGTTTTAGAAATTTCGTTAAATTTTCTTATTTGAGTATTTTATTCTTTCAGATTTTCTATTTGTTGCTATTTCTACAGTTAAGTAAGATTATCTCATAAATATATCATAATTATAGCAAATAGTCACCGTAACAACCCTTATTGACAACGATGGTTTGAACTTTGTAATCGAAGCAAGAATTGTAAGTTTTATTACGAAGCTGATGAGCAGTATTCACTGTTGAAGTAGAGAGTGTGGTAAAGCACAATTTTGTGAATTTTATATTTTAAATCTTGATTATAAAAATTTCATTGTAAAATCAAATTATAATAAGTAACTTAATAAACAACAATAAACGCTTTAATTATCTTATTTTTAAGCTACCTGTAGTAATTAAAGAGAAAAAATCTTATTAATATGTAAAAAATATGTTGTGTGAACAAATTTTTGTTAATTCAGGTTAATAAAACAGTGCATTATCATATTATATATCAGGGTAAAATCTCCAAACTTAGTACTTAACGTTTAAATCTTACGCATTAATATCTTGATGGTGGTAGAAAACAATAATATAAGATTTTAGAGTAAGTTTAGAAGGTAGGTATGTTTTAATGGCCAGATTCAGGGGTAAATTACTTGAACTACATATTATTAGAAGTAAGTTAATGTTATTAGTAAACCCTGTTTGCGTTAAAAACTATTAGAACGAAGTTAAAACTACATAAAAAACATTAATACCAAATTTTATTAGACAAATAAAGAAAGAAAACGAACCACTAGTTGAACCTGTCTACCCATGCTCATGTAAGATAAATCTATAAAAAATTGTATAAACCTTAAGGAATTGCAATGTTGAGTTTTGTAAGAATGGACTAATATTACAGACTATCCATGCGCTAAATTTTAATTTAGTGACAGCAAACATTGCAGTGATTGATTTTATAAAAAAATATTCGTTTTTTGCAAAAGCTAAAACGATATAGTAATGAAAAAATCAATTCATAACAACTTATTCGGTAACAAAATTTGAGCTTTTATTATGATTTGTTTCAATCATAGTAAAAAGTTCCTGTTCTTTTCCACATCAACCCATCCATCAATCAGCAAGCTCAAAAGCTTCGTTCAACACTTCGAGTAACACCTGGCGAGACTTCTCCTCAAAAGTCAAAAATTCTGTTAATGAACTTGTGGAGACCGATGGCTCTCCAAAGCGGAGTAAAAGATTGTGCGTAAACAATGGTGTCTTGGGGGCTCTAGGGGGCCCTCCAAACGCCAATCAATGATATAGGGGGCAGTGCGCGCGCGCGTCGCACCTGGAACCCAACTTCGTCCCATTCTATTCGCGATTTCGTCACGAACGGCCGCGATAATGTGAACTGTTGATCCTCGCTCACGATACTCTTGTTTATCCTTTACGGCATGGTGTAAAGGTAAGCACCGTTTTGTAGTTGTTTTGATGTTTGTATCTTCACACTGGGGGGATTTCGGGCTTGATCCTTTCACCTCTCGAAATGATCTTTGAGAGACTTTCTATAAATTATCGCAAAAAATCCTCTGGAGCGGACGGTTTTTCCCGGAGAGCCACAGGTTTCCTCATTTATTCCATGAATGAAAATGACAAAGTTAGACTCTCGGATCGCCTATAAAACTAAATGGGATAATTTACCACCACTTAATTTGGACGCTTTTTCGGAGTCAGCGAATCAGATAAAATTTTACGGCCATAAGCACTCTATCGCAGTTGGATTCATCAAAATTAAAATTTTTGTAATTTTGTCAATATTTGAGTCACAAAACGAAGGGATGATAAACAGTGGCTTTCCTTTTATATAAAATTTAATTTTCCTTTGCCCGCTGTGAAAAATTTAGAATATATTTGAATTGCAAAGCTTGCAATGTCGGAACAGTTTACGACCATTTCATTACGATATTAAAATATAAAGGACGAAAATATCAAGAATAACTGCTTCAGGTGTTGATTAAGACATTTTATTTTTATGAAAAATAACTTTTATTTCGTATAAAATTTTACAGACTTACCTGAAAATGACCAAACTTACATTAAGCCAAAGATCAATACCATGGCTGATAAATATTTGACATTTATTTGCCGTTAATCACTGTCAACTGTCGTGCAGTATATCTTATTACTTTTATTGTGCTTTACCCAAAGATTACAATTTTCCAACTCCGTTAGCGTGTACGTTATCATTATCACACAAAATTTTTAAAATTAATTACCGCGTTTTATTTTTTGTAACGAAAACCTAGTTTTTTTAAGTCTTTTGCTGTTATACCTTTGTGATTAAGTTGTTGTAAGTCTGTATTGTGGATATTACGGGAAATTGTACTCATCTCTAAACTTGTCTCTTTTAAATGAAGCAAAGAAGTAGTTTCAGAATCTTCATAATTACGCAATTTTTATAAAAAATGTTAATTAAGATGTAGAGTTTTAATTATGTCTGTGTAGAACGTTGTTTGAAACTTTTATTTTTCAAATTTAATATTTTGACTTAAGATGATACGTTCTCCTATCTTACGAAACAAATTATGTTTCGAATTTCTTTCGTAATTGGTCACCAGCTTTATTGAAGAACTTAATACTTGATAATCTTATTATTTCTCTCCTATCTTCCTTAGCTGACTGAAGCTAATGTTATACGTTTTTTTTTTTTTTGTTCAATATATATTATATTCAACTTTACTTTTAAACTGTTATTGTGTTTTTATAAAAAAAGTAAAATAGATCGTTAAAGTTTTGAAGCAAAATTTTCAGTTTTTTATTTTTAGTTTTTCATGATTCTTTGCTTAGATTCGTTATAAAACTATGCCCACAGAAATGTGAAACTTATTAGGATTTATGTCGTGTCAAGTCTGATTATTACATTTTGGTTGAACGTAACTCAAGAATACCAAGTCATAGTCTCTGCTGAATATTGAACTGGATTAACTTCTAATGGATGGCGATTTTTTAAAAGAAAATATGTCAGAAGTGTGCAACATAACAGCATCTTTTAGTAATCAATTTTATCACTCGATTTTTCAAACAAATAATGTGATGAAAGCTCGAAATTACCATGAACCCTACAATAACAAATTGTTTACTTTGTTTGAATAATTAAATTCAATCTGGCAACAATTGAACTAACATCAATTTGTGAAAATTTTTGACGAGTATCCAAACCCAGTTGTTTGTGTTTATTTATTTATTTAATTTAATTTGATAAAAGTTTATCGTAGAAGTACCTTTTCTATTTACAGTTTAAATTTTTTTCTGTGGATGAATAGTTTTGCTTTCTCACGATTTTTTTCTGGAAACATCTTTCTTAATGCTCGAGAAACTTCAGCATTGTCGAATTCAAAGTTAAAATAAATGTAAGAATAAGAGGATTTATGGCAACGGCTTAAATACTACTTTGGTACGTTTCTATACTGAAGTTTTTGGTATTAACCAATTTATTATTCTTTTATCGCGAATTTCAAACAAGTAGTTCTAGAGTATGATTGAAAACTTGATGATTTATGATGCGTATATTAAATGCTTGTTTTGAAAGACTGGAAACGATACAGATTTTGTGATTTTAGATTTTAAAGATTGTAATCCAGATTGACGGATGGTTTGTGACCCCGTTTAAAACTTGCAAAGTTTGAAAAATAAATAATGTATGCACACATGAGGAAAGTGAGTTTGCACAAAGATTTACGGATCAATAAAGTTTGCGTGCGAAGTATTAATTCAGCGACTTTTGCACAATTTCATTAAATTTATACAAAATTCGTTATTTGACTCTATTGTCGAAGATAAGAGGATAAAAAGTAATTCATTAGTTGAAAGAAATCAATCGGAAATAAAAACCAGACGATGTTTGAATGTAGATGAGACAATAGAAATAACACTAGAAAAAATGAGGAGCAAACCCAAATTAATATTTCAAGATTTGGGCCGACTTTCCATTTCTGTCCGCATTAAATTTTGCAGTGCTTCTTAATGCAAAAAGCCGTTCATGTTTAGTTGACATGTAAATTTACTACGACCTTTTTAAATATTTATTTGATCGGATTTTTCCGTTATTGGCCGATAAAATAATTACTTTTGCAGGTCGTCCCTCTTATCAATTGCGTTTTATGACACATTAATTTGCCGGACTGATTAAAATAGTTTTATGAGCAAAATATCCACACACGAAAAGTTTCATTTACTTGAGTTACTTTCTTGAAAACTCATAAAATACTTCGTTAATTAAATTAAAAGGCGCTTGTGGACAAAAAATATATATCCGCAACATTAAGTCCATTGTGCTTTCTTAAGCAATTTCGTTATCCACTCATTCAAAATCCGAATGAGACATTTTCGATGGAGATATTAACGATATTAAATATATTTTAGTAGCGATGGGGAATTTCCTTAACTTAATGACTTTTATAACAGATATAAATTTATGTGTTCTTAGGTACAATCAATTTACCTATATCGCTACCATTATTAGGTGGAATTAATGATCAGATTAACGTCCTCAATAACATTAATGTATTTAATGCTTTCCGGGCAATATGTTGACGTAATTGGTTTTGACTTGCATTTATGTGGCTCAAGCATCTGGTAATTGAATATCCAGATATTAGTAATAGTCTTAAACGGTTTCCATCACACATTATTTACAACGTAAGAAACGGAGCCTCCTGTTTCTTTTTTATTATCGATTTAATGTTAAAATGACATTATCATAACGACGATATTTGGAAGATGATATTAAAAGGTCACTTTTGAAGTAGAATTTTCTTCTTGATGGTATCATGGCAAACAGCAGTTATCATAATAATGCCAAAGTCGTATTCCTGCCGCATAGCAGGAGATCTCTTATGATCTTTCATACAAGTCAATTTTAAATACTATTTCAAATTTTTTAAAGATATTATAAATCTAAAGTAAAGTTTATAAGTAAAATTTCAGGCCAGTTTCATAATCGAATTTAAAGGAGCATTGATTGAAATGTTGTTTAGAATGTGTTGATTACTAAGAACAAAAATTTCACATTCTAGAAACCAACAGTAACTTTAAAGTCTCTTTAATTCGGTTATAAAACTGGTCTTTTTCTTAACCGTAAAATAATTTTTTGTAAACATTTCAATTGCAATTTTCCCTTATTACTCGTTTCGAATTAAAAATGGTGTTTTAAAAAGTTTAGTCCATCATAGATCTTATAAAAAAACATTATTGATTAAAAGAAAAATTAACTGCTTATAATACTCTTTTGGTTATAATTACTACATTAATTTGATTTGAAGTATCTTCTATTTAGTTTTGTTGTAATATTTTAAAAACTTTTCTTAGAAATAACAGAACGTTGCAGGAGCTCTTTTACTCAAGAGGCACTACGTTATTAAGCTTACTACATTAAAACACGTTTAGTAAAGTGAAAATTTACAGCATAGCAATCAATTTTACATAAAAATAGTTTGACCAATAAAAATAATTTATTTTCTATTGTTTATTAACAACTGCATTGACAAAACTCAACAGAAGTCATTTTACTAAACTCGGTCAGTTCAGTTAAATCAAAAGGTAATTGCTTTTTTTCGACAAAATTTAAGCAGAAACCTTTTTCTTTTAAATGAACAATGAGGACAATATTTTTTTATCTATTAAAATATCGCTTTATTTAGGTCTAGCCACAATTTTAAAAACTATTGAAACCCGTTTTCGAAATTCTCTGAAAAGCTTCAAAACGCCAGATTTAAAATACTAATCGCAAGCTGTTAGCGTCAGCTTTGAAATGTGAGACACAAAGTGAAACGTTTTCGAGATATATCCACCTGTGACTAAAACACGTTTGTATTAATGACATTTTAGTATATCTTGAATTTTATCTAAAAGAAGCAACTTGCAGGAGTTAATGGATGTTAATGAATATATTATAAGCTTCAAGAGGTTAAATAGAATTTTATTTGGCTGATAAATGGTGGTCCATGCGAATTTTAGGCTTGTCTCAAATTTTTGCAAGTTGAAAGAACGTTTTCACTGTGTGTGTTCGAGGGTTGATTTCAGCGTTAATTATTTCCTAGTCTTTTGAAAAGAGAATACTCCAATTAGATCTCATTTTCCCAGTGAAAGCACTGTCAAGAACTGATCGAAAGCGAGTTCGTTTGAAATTTGATTTTTCCATCCGAATGAATCAGTTGTGTGTCATGTAAACAAATAATTTACATTTTCAAATAATATCGGAGTTCGTGGCGCGCACCTACGAACATTGACATTCCCAATTTCATCAATCTCCGTTTTGACACCTTTCTCTAACATTGTTTGTGAATATACAGCCACGAAGAAAAGAAATGCAATATCTGAAAACGGATATGAAAAATACGCACCGAAGTGATGGTTCAACAATTCTATTAATTTAGTTTTTTTTTACAAGCGAGAAATGTTTTTTGC